GGTTTTTGAGATATTTGTAACACCTATAGGTCCTTTCCTATTTGGTGTGGACTCCTAACCTTATATATATGGGATGAAAGTGCAAAAATTTTGTGTTCCCTATTTGGGTCACTATATAAGAAAGGTGACTTCCTCTAGAGAGAGAGACACCTTATATATATGAGACGAAAGTGCAAAGAATTTGTGTGCCCTATTTGAGTCTCTATATAAGAAATGTGACTCCCTCTAGAGAGAGAGACCAAACCCCCTGAGCATCCGCATTGCCTCCCTTTAGAGGGAAGAGAGCTTTATACAGAGAGAAACACTACGGATGTTCCTCCTACAAATAAATTATAAAGCCTTATGAGAAAGAACATTTTCATTATGATTAAAATAACCCTAATCATAATGAAAATACTATAGGGTTGTGATTTGGCATCACGTATCAACAAAAATTACTATTTCATATATAAAAAAGTTTTGACTTTGAGTTCTTTATACTAACTTACATATTGCCGTCCGAAATTTGATTCTCTATTGAATCTTATAACCGCTTTTAGGCACATAGTGCGTGTGGTTTGAAAGTTCTTATTTCCTTGAGGTTGGTCTCTAGGTTAAGATTCTAAAACCACCATAAGCCTGGCCTTTATCCGAAAAGAAAATGAATGGTGTTCTCATGTGGGAGCATCAACCATTTTACTTATCAAAAGTAAAGAAATTGATTAACCATTTGAATTTTTTCAAGTCGCACTCTTCTTCTTACTACCATATTAACAAAGTCAGGTATTTTAAAAGTTTCGATAAACAATAGTATATTGGGAACTCACAAAATCCTCTACTATGAAAGATTCAAACTTCCGCCTTACTAGTTCCATGTCTTCTCAAATAATCGCAGAATAAATATGTTTGTTTTACGTGAAAATATTTATCGAATATCGTAGAATGAATATGAAATTTTTTTTTTATGTAGTTAGCTAGGTGTGAGAATATTTTCATACCAATTGATCCCAATGCATTATTTCACACCAATTAACAGCTAATTAGTATAATAATATTCTCACACTTGACTACATCAAGGAAGTTTTTTATGGGAAAATAAATATTTCACGCGAATCAAACATGCATCATGAGAATTGTATGTGACCATGCGCTTGGATAAAGACTATTGCCTTATTCATTGGACGAGGATATCTTAAAAAAGGAAAGTGAACGAGGATGTGAGCGTCTTTCAATAATTTGACCTATCCAAATCACCTAAAAATAAATATTACCTTCTTTTTGTCGGTTATAAACTTGAAGTATATTTCTATTAAGGCACGATTGGTATGCGTGACAATACTTTTATGGAAAAACACTATCATATAATTAGGTAGGGCGTTTTTTCACACTCCTATGGTCCCATCATATTTCCTTATACCAATTGGTAGTCAATTGAAGTGAAAAACTCTAACACTTAATCAGGAAGTTTTTGTCACATGAAAATATTTTCACATGTGCCAAATGTGCTATTAAAATTCTTTGTTCGGGTTTGGTAAGTAAGTAGTATCACTTAAAAAAAACAATGAGGCAATTGAATAAGTGTTTTAAATGGTGACATATAATTTCAACCACTAGATTAATATATGAT